TTATATATTATTATTATATATATATATATATATATATATATATATATATATATATATATATATATATATATATATATATATATATATATATATATATATTATTATATATATATTATTATATATATATTAATATATATATATTAATATATATTAATATATATATATATATATATTAATATATATATATATATATATTAATATATATATATATATATATATTAATATATATATATATATATATATTAATATATATATATATATATATATATATATATATATATATATATATATATATATATATATATATATATATATATATATATATATATTAATATATATATAGCGGTTTTTGAGTTGTTTTCAGACGAGTGTACACCAAACCGGGCAAGCAGAAAATTCTACTTGACCGCGGCTGAGATTCGAACCCGCGACCTTCGCATTTCTAGAACGATGCTCTACCGTCTGAGCTACCACGTCAAGCTGAGAACGACTTGTTAAGTTATGATGTTAGTTGCATTTCGGAGGCTAGTCCTTCAATGCGTAAAGCCAGCTATTAGTCTGGCAATGTTGTATGTGAATGTTGTGGTTTCCCACGTTTACGATTCCACTCGTGCAACGTTATGTAGCGGTTTTTGAGTTGTTTTCAGACGAGTGTATACCAAACCGTGCAAGCAGAAAATTCTACTTGACCGTGGCTGAGATTCGAACCCGCGACCTTCGCATTTCTAGAACGTTGCTCTACCGTCTGAGCTACAGTACAAGGTCAAGCTGAGAACGACTTGTTAAGGTATGATGTTCGTTGCATTTCGGAGGTCAGTCCTTCAATGCGTAAAAGTATATATAAATATATATATATATATATATATATATATATATATATATATATATATATATATATATATATATATATATAATTCAATTTGTTTTGGTTGCCTAGATATATAGAGTGCTCAATACTAAAAGTATAGCAGAGCTTATTAGATTGTCTATATCTTAAAATTAAATATCGCGATTAAATATCGCGATATTTAATTTTAAGATATAGACAATCTATATATATATATATATATATATATATATATATATATATATATATATATATATATATATATATATATATATATATATATATATATATATAAGCATACATGGAGCCCATTTCTTAGAGACATGGTAAATATGTGCCTGCGAAAACATTTCACTCACAAACAACTGTAATATTCAACTACTAAGCTTGAAATCAGTACTCCCATTATGCTTTGCGCGCTTAGAGTTTAAGGTTTAAGGTTTAGAGTTTAAGGTTTGCAAAGGACAACCTTTTTTGAATTAGTGACGTACTTACTGTATTCGAACAGTCCAAACCATTGCACAAGAACTCAAGCTGCAGAGCTTCGAGATTAGCTCTTGGAATATCTGGTAATCCTTACTGCCATGGTTTTTCTTAGCATGTTTAGGTTTTTGACACCATGCACTCAGTGATTACCTTCAGACTGCTGTGGTGGACTATGCGCAAGCATGTGTTCAAATTAAAAATGATGTTCTTATGCTTCGCGAACATAGCAGAAAGTTTTCTGACATCAAGATAGCGAAATTTGTGGAAGTTATCAATTCTCAGTTGACCGAAGAAGAGGCTCTTGAAGGTGCCAAAACCACGGACAAAAGCAAGGAGACGCGGAATGGACGGGGAAAATGCTCGAGATGATATTGGAAGTTTGGATGAGCTCAAGAAATTTGAGGTTACTGTTTATAATTCTGTTTATGATACTGCTGCGTTGCAAAGTTTGGAAAAGCGATTTGCAGCCCACAAATTTTTTTTTAAAGTTTTGTCGTTAATTCCGTCGAGATTCGAAGAGATAGGCAAAGCGACGACAAGAGTTCTTTAACTGGGCTGCTGGATATATTTGGTGATCGTATATCCGAGCGGGAATCACTAGAACAAGAGCTTGTTACTTTCGCCAATAACTTGCCCAGCCTCGCAAGCCAGGCTCTCTATACTTGCGCTTCCCTCCCTAACCAGCTTCAAGCGTGTTTGGCAGGGAAGCGGAAGTAGAGAGCGTGGCTTGCAAGGTTGCAACTGGCCACCGTTTAAGAACTGCGATCTTTTTTCTCAAGAATTGAAGATGATTCTAGTGAGAATTCTGACAACCTGGAAAGTGAAGTTGACAATGTAGCAGAAGAAATTAGATTCATCAGAGAACCGAACGGTGCCAATCTTGCGTTTGGAGATGAATCAACTCAACCAAAGCCTCATGAAAGTAATACAGCCAATTCTCAGTCTGAATATGATGCCCGTGATGATGGTGATCAGAATCAGGAACTGTATCAAGTCGTGGTAGATTTATTAGAGTCTGCTAGAAAGGCAAGAGGTGTAACTGTTACAATTGCCCGACATGTGTACATGTTGTTTAGTCGTTATAATATGCATTCGGCTGCTTACAAGAATTTATATCTGGTATACAAACTGGCTTTGATCTCGCTTGTTACACAATTAGTCTTTTGCGAAAGAACATTTTCAAAACTTAAACTGTTAAGAATGCGATTACGAAGCACCGACGTTATCGGCAGATCATCTAGAATCGTTGCTATACTAATCATGGTGGAAGACAAACTGTAAGATTCTTTTAGTATGCATGGACAACATTGATAATGTGGCGCAACATTCATCTGAATATCAAACACTTTATTGCGGTGAAAAAGCATAAATTGTAAGCTATTGTATATATATATATATATATATATATATATATATATATATATATATATATATATATATATATATATATATATATATATATATATATATATATATATATATATATATATATATATATATATATAGA